AATTCTGACTTTATATCTTGCAATTCTGAGTAATCTCACAATTTTGACTTTATATTGCGCAATTGTTACTTTATATCTCACAATTCTGAGTTTTTATCTTGCAATTATAACTTTATATTGTGCAATTCTGACTTTATATCTCGCAAATCAGAGTTTATATCTTGCAATTATGACTTTATATCTCACAATTCTGAGTTTATATCTCGCAATTCTGAATTATCTTACAATTGTGACTATACTGCGCAATTCTTATTTTATATCTCGGCATGGTGAGTTTTCATCTCACAATTCTGAGTTTTTATCTTGCAATTCTGACTTTATATCTCGCAAATCAGAGTTGATCTCGCAATTCTGACTTTAAATTGCGCAATTCTGACTATATCTCGCAAATCAGAGTTTATATCTTGCAATTCTAACTTTATATCTTTCAATTCTGAATTATCTTACAATTGTGACTATACTACGCAAATCTTATTTTATATCTCGCAATGGTGAGTTTATATCTTGCAATTCTGACTTTAAATTGGGCAATTCTGACTTTATATCTCACAATTCTGAGTTTTTATCTCGCAATTCTGACTTTATATCTCACAAATCAGTTTATATCTCACAGTTCGGACTTTTTTCTTAGAATTGCAAGTTTCATGATTCTAAATTGTTATCTCACGATTTTGACTTTATTTTGCGCAACTCTTACCTTATATCTCGCAAATCAGAATTTATATCTCACAATTCTTACTTTATATCTTGCAATGGTGAGTTTTCATCTCACAATTCTGAGTTTTTATCTTGCAATTCTGACTTAAAATCTCACAAATCAGTTTATATCTCACAATTCTGACTTTATATCTCGTAATTCTGAGTTTTTATCTTGCAATTCTGACTTTGTCTCGCAATTTTGACTATATATCTATATATGAGTTTATATCTCGCAATTGTGTCTTTTTTGTTAAAACTCAATATTTTTATCTTGCAATTCTGAAAATTATCTCGCAATGAGTTTTTATCTCAAAATTCTGACTATATATCTTGCAATTATGATTTTATATCTCTCAGTTCTCACTTTATTTCTTGCATTTATGATTTTATGTCTCTCAGTTCTGACTTTCCCACAATTATAAGTTTATACAGTATCTTGGAATTCTGACTTTAGGCCTATATCTTGCAATTCAGACCTTTTCTCGGAACTGTCGGTCCAAATGGTTAGGAAATCAGAATTCATTTCAATTACATGTTTTATTTTATTTTTTAACTCTGTGGCGGAAATAAGCTTCCATAACTTGAAGTGTGAAAACATGCCTTGATAATGTTTAACTATAATTAATTTAACTAGAACTTAATTCTCACATTAGTTATACATTACAGTTACACACAAGAATACAACTTGCAGGGAATTATAAACCCCAAAAAAACGCAACAGCAACTGTTTGGCTGAAACGACGTTCCTCTGAAAAACAATTATCTTTCATTTGAAAGCAAACCCATAAAGTGTTGACGATCTATGGTAGAGCGATGAAAAGCGGTGGTGGTTCTGCTCGACTGACACACGAGCACAAAGGCCGGTGTTTTTGGGCTGCGGTGTCTGCAGGGCGGTGCTGTCTGCATCCTGACTTTACTGGGAAACACAAACACTCTTCACCTTTTGATGATTTTAATTACTGCTTTTCAGTGAAAGCAGAGCAAAGCCAGAGAAAAGCAGCTCAGCAGCAGCTGAAGGAGGGCAAAGCTCTGTTGTCTTTTCATGCGACCGCAGCCTTTGATTCCTCTCATCCTTCAGACGGCGTGACAGAGTCTCATCAATCACTCCTTTCTCTGCGCTGATGCTTCTGGCTGCTCAGAGTTTACTTATGGCCAAGCCTACAGTATATCCTCATTCAGGCATTGAGTGCATTAACCCTTGAGCTGTGCTGGAAATACTTCACCAAAATTGCTTTCTGGTCCAAAATGACTGGCCTTTTAAAAATTGCTTGTAAATCTCTCGTTATGCTATATTATCATCAAATCTTGGATTCAATCTTTTTATCAACTTGTTTCTTTGTCTTTCAGTTGCACAGCTTTTGTATTTCTTTTTGGAATTGATTGGTCACAGGCTTCATTTATCTGAGCTTATGCACCTCAGTATATATAAACATCAATTCAGCTTGTTGCCAAGAGAACAATTTTCATTTAAATTTAGTTTGACTTGATGTACTAAAACAACTAAATCTAAAACTGAAATAAAAAATTATAAAAACTACAATATAGACGAATATAAAAAAATACAAACTCATAAAAATAACAAAAACACACAAAAAAATTACTAAAACTTTAACTCAAATTAAAATGAAAACGGAAAATGTAAAAAAAAAAAAGTATTCAAAATACTAAAACTATAATATCTTGTTTATACTACAACAACACTGGTGCAAACTGAAAGAAAACAAGTTAATAACAATATTTATTCTAAGATTAATTATAAAGCATTACAAGAAACTTACAAGCAATTTGGCTGGTCTTTTTTGAACATCACAAGTGCAACAAGGTGGGGAAAAAATCCCCCAAAATACAAAAATTATCAAAAAAAAAAAAATTTGTGAAGTTGTTATACCCTGTGGACAAACTCAGTAAATTTTAATCCAACGCAATACCATGCATTAGATGCATGTGACCCAAACACAACATGACCGTCACGTGGACAATATCTGCACGACTGCAGAGTCAAACTCTGAATTTCACATAAAAGATTTTTAGAAATCAAACCTGAGACACATATGTGAGACGTCAAAATAAGCACCTTATAGATCAACCATAGTAATGAAGCACTGATTTGGGAAAACAACCTTCAAAACATCTAAGACATTTAACATTTCAACATCCAGATAAAAACCTCTGCCTTTCTTTGATACAAGGAGATAAACGAAAAACCCTGAAGCTCAATCAATCTATAAAATCTACCATTCAGGCACAAGAAGAAAAAGAGCAGTTTAACCCCTGCTGGCAGATGCTGTAACTGCAGCAATACACATCAACATTCAGCAGCAGAAGTACCATAATAACGTGTTGAATGCCACTGTTCCTGATCATGCGTATCAGTTCACATAAATATCAATGAGAGAATCACTTATTCAGATCATGTACTGCTGTGATCTGGGACTTGATTTTTGATTTTTGATTTTTGATTTTCTTCAACTTCAGCCACTTTTCGGGGTTGATTTTAATTAAAAATAACAGATTTCAGATTTTTTTTACCATGCCTTCATCTTAATTTGACTTCATTTCAAATGCCTTTTTATAAGTTTTAATGTTTTACCCATAACTTGTCCCATAATTTCAAACTTATCAAATTTATAAAAAAAAAAAATCTGAATTGTTACAACAATTATGCACAAATTCCAAAAATGCTGTTGAATGCCACTGTTCCTGATCATGCATATCAGTTCACATAAATATCAATGAGAGAATCACTTATTCAGATCATGTACTGCTGTGATCTGGGACTTGATTTTTGACGTCCCATTAGGGAATACATAGGTGTTTCTTCAACTTCAGCCACTTTTCGGGGTTGATTTTAATTAAAAATAACAGATTTCAGATTTTTTTTACCATGCCTTCATCTTAATTTGACTTCATTTCAAATGCCTTTTTATAAGTTTTAATGTTTTACCCATAACTTGTCCCATAATTTCAAACTTATCAAATTTATAAAAAAAAAAAATCTGAATTGTTACAACAATTATGCACAAATTCCAAAAATGCTGTTTTACGGATTCGGTTCGAATGAGTCAACTGAGCGAATCATTTGGCACAGATTTTGTTTTACTTTTTGGATCTGACTGATCATAGCCCTCATTGATCTGAGCTTATGAAACTTTTGAGTGAAAAAAGCATTATTTGTGGATAATTTTTGCAATGTTCACTCAAAATCTGATCAATCATTGATCAAAAATACATACAAAACCTATGCTAATCAGTGTTACTATAGTTACAGGAAACTAAAAATGAAAAATTTTAACTTCACATAAAATATAAATTTTATAAGTTTTAATGTTTTACCCATAACTTGTCCCATAATTTCAAACTTATCAAATTTATAAAAAAAAAAAATGTGAATTGTTACAACAATTATGCACAAATTCCAAAAATGCTGTTTTACGGATTCGGTTCGAATGAGTCAACTGAGCGAATCATTTCAACCGATTCATCACAAAGCAAAGGTCGTCTTTTTGCTCGTCAAACACTGCGATCATCATTATCTCAAATTGCCATTTGACCAGCGACAAGACGAACATTGTGTTGTTTTATCATGTCTGGACTCGATCTGCAAAGGTTTTAAAAAACGATTCAATATGAGGGTCATCGGAGAAGTTCTGTTACAAGCACATGTCAGCTTTTCCAGATTAGTTACGACTAGGAATTGTACAGTTTCACCAGCACAACCAAGACAATGCAGTTGCAAAAAAATGCAATAACAAGTGTAGATCAATCAATAAAAAGCATCGTCGCAAATTCCGCTCAACTCTATTTGGCAACGACGGAACTTGCGACCATAGTCGCTTTTGGCAATGCAACTAGTTTTGACCGACTTCGCTTTAATAATACCGATTCCAGCATCGCGCCCTCATCAATGCATCTTTTCTCCAGTAGCCTAATGTTTTTCTCGAGTCGCTCGCATTTATGTCCTCTTTAAGTCAGCAGCAGTTCAAAGTCTCAGAGACATCAGAAGCTCCAGCATGCAAGCAAGCGCATGTCTCATCTCCATGCAGGACTTTCCCTCGCATCTCATCTCCGCATGGGACAGCCAACGCATTCCCAGAACTAGCCCTAGCTTAGGATAACTTGCATATCTAAGCGCCACATCACATATTGCGCAAAGTTCAAGAGCGCGTGCATAATAAACAACAAACTGCTTTAACACGTCTGACTAAGCAACTAGACTAAATAAAGTATAAGAGCACTAAGGGTTCGTGTGCATCTCAGTGAAGCAGGAATTTCCCCGCAGCGCATTCCTGAGGCGCCTTTACCTGCGGGACTCCAGAGCCGCTTCTGCGCTTCAGCTCGACACAAACCCGGCGGATTCTTCAGCACGACGACTCTTTCTGAGCTCAGATCTGGACTGAGATCAGATCATGGCAGGGAATCGGGTCAGTCCGTCGCCTCTTAAAGCGCTTCGGTTCGTTTCTGCGTCTGGCTCCACCTCGAATGACTGCGACTTCAAGATGCTCTCCGCCCAGAACGAACCTGAGACAGGTATCTACAGACTCACTGCTGCCCGCCAGCGGCACACACACACACACACACACACACCCCGCCGCGAGAAAGAGAAGATCAATCAGCATCAGCATCAAAGCGAGATCAAACCGGCTCGTTCGGTTTTTATTTTTTTATTAGAACTGTGTAATTATTTTGATAATAGCCTATATATTGATGTGCAAGAAATGTATGATGTTCTACCAAGTGAACCCATAGATGGCAGGATAATTTATTGACTTGTTTATCTATTGATCGGAGAAGATGCATTAGGGAAACAGGTGTGACAGGTGTACTTTCCCTCAGGGATGCTTTTTTTTTTTTGGGGGTGCATTTTTCTCTTCTTTTATGTGCACTTTGAAATGTGCTTTCCGCCTGCAATCAAACACACAATGCATGAAGAACTAATCAGATTCTCTCTGTGAAGCTCAGAGAGCGCACAGAAAACCGATCCACCACAAGGATTCATTTAGAACCAAATGAAGAGTGATTCTGTATCAGTTATCATAAATGACTGTAGTTGCACATTCATGCATCATTTTGCGGTGCGAAAGATGATACATTTGTAACAGTAATGTTTTGGCGACTGTCACTTGGTAACAACTTCACAGCAGGGGCGCGAATAATGGTTGCCATGGAGATGGCAGCATCAGCCAGTCTGAAATGATGCATTGCATGCAGGATACATAATTGCAACTTTTTATTTCACAACTCTTAGAGAAAAAAAAAGTCAGAATTGCTATATAATTGCAAGATATAATTCACAATTCTGAGAAGAAAATTCAGAACTGTGAGATATCAGCTAAACATGGTAAGATATGAACTCGCAAATATAACCAGCAATTGCAGGAAACTGTATGAACTCACAATTCTGAGAAGAAAAGTTGTAATTGTGAGAAATAAAGTCAGAACTGTCAGAACTCAGAATTTTGAGATATAAACTCAGAATGCAATAAATAATCTTGCCATTCTGAAAAGAAAAATGATGCAATTATCTGTTTTTTTTTTATTCCGTGGTGGAAAAAAAAAGAACTGCAAGAGGTATACTTGGAATTCTGAGAAGAAAAGTTGCAATTGTTAGATAAAAAGTTGCAATTACCTTTTTTTTATTCCGTGGTTGAAACAAAACAAACAAATAACATAGAATTGCGAGATGCAAACGTAGAATTCTAAGAAAAATTTCGAATTGTGAGATATTGCAACTGCGAGAAAAAAAATAGAATTGCGAGATTTAAACTTAGAATTACAAGGAAGAAAGCCGGAATTATGACTTTGTATCTCACAGTTCTGACTTTTTCCCTCAGAATTGTCGCTGGGTTTTTTTTTTCAGAATTGAAAAAAGTCCAAATTGTGAGATAAAAAGTCGCAATTATTTTTTAAATTCCGTAGTAGAAATGGGCTTCCATATTCAACAGACACACCTCCCCTTTAAACAAGGAAGGTTATGCTACAAAACTGCAACATCACATGTCGCCTAATAAACGTTCACTCTGTGTAGGAAGCAAAAGGTCGAGTTTTTGTGCTTAAACAGTCGCGTTCAAACACGACAGGCGTGCTGTAATCAAGAACACTGACTGAGCTCAGATGGAGGGTGTGGATCGAGTCTGATGCACAGCTCTTCTTGGGTGGGCAGACTGAGACAGTGCTGTGTGATTGGCTGGCAGCAGTGCTGTAGTTCAGGACTGGACATGTTCTCTCCAGCTCAGACTGCACAGGTTCAGCTCCATTCACACACAAAGAGCTTCCTGAGACCATAACTAGCACTAACACGACATAAGATACTGCACGAGATATGTGTTTCTTGCTCTCATGCATGCCATTTAATTAGTTTATACAAGAGTTTGTGTCATTTCTGTAAAAGTTCAACAGATGTCGCTAGTTGCCTGTTTAAAATAACACAAACGACATCCTGATGATGATTATTATTATTTTAAATAATTGCTTATTCTTACACGATGATCTGGTGATATGCAATTACTCAGAGCATGTGAAACACCAGGATGGATTTTTTTTTTTAGGATTATGAACAGATTAAACCAGCGATTAAACCTCATGTACACTGTTGCACGAATGCATGAGTTATGAACTATAACCAGCAGATGGCGCTTCAGTAACGAGAAAGAATCAACACAGCGATCGATTGATTGAGCACTGAACTATAGTACGATATTCAGGTGTACAATTGTACTTATGTAAATAAAAATAGTTATCAAAACCCATCATTCATCAAAAAAAGCAGAATTTGTAAAAAATAAAAATAAAAATAATGCTATATGCTTAAAAACATTTTTGTTTTTATTTATAAAAAATTATATATTTACTTAATAAAATATCATATATTTATATTTTTATTCATAGGACTATATTAAAAAAATGGAATTAAAATAAATATGCAGATTTTGTTATACACGAACATATAACTTCTAACATGGCACAAATTATATTGATATTTATAAAGTGTGTTATATTGAAATTATATATTATATTGATGTTGTATTCTTAATATTTGCTTTATGCTTGTGAAGCACTTTGAGTTGCATTCCATGTATGAAAAAATTATATACAAATAAATTATTATTATTATTATAAAATTGTTTTCATGCTACAGAATATAAATATGCAAACGGTGTATTATTTATTGACTGTAGAAAAAAAACTTGCACCTATTTCAACTGAGAAACTTAAGTTTAGTTGCTGCCTTAACTTTTAAGTAATTGGCTGTGCAAGTATATAACGTAAATTATATAAAACTGATTGTATATATATTAAATTAAACTGAAAAAAATTGCGTTGAATTTTGTTGAGCTTAAAAATAAATATGTTGATGATAATGTTTAGATATCCTGAATGAAAATGGTTCTATACCTGTGCAAAAAAAAAAAAAAAGAGGAGAAAACAAAACGAACAAAATAAAACCCTCTGATATTTGCCAATGTGTTGCTATTCTGTTGCTAATACGTGTTCATGGCATAAATATATTTAAGAATCATTTACTCAATAAATTACTCGCTAATCATTAACTCATTCAAGTATTGCCACAGAAGATTTGGTTAGGAAATATAACAATAACTAGATTTTTTTTTTTGCCTTTCTTTATTTTAGCTTTTTTGTTATTTATGTATTTATTTTTATTTATTTTACTTATTTTTTTGTTGTTGTTGCAATTTTTGCATTCTCGGAAGAAACGCAATTGCGTCGTTAGGGCGTTGCTAACAGCCCAGTCCTCTAGATATGTTTCTGTTTTCTGGTCTAGCAGGTGAAAATGATGCGTCTGATCAGTTAGTAAAGCAACAGCATGATTTGAGGAATCACTGATTTGATCAAATCAAAAGCAACACTATTGTGACCAACTACCCCGCGCTTGATGATGGCGTGCGCGTGACCTCACTGTTCCCCACAGCTGTGTGTGTGTGTGTGTGTGTGTGTGTGTGTGTGTGTGTGTGTGTGTGTGTGTGG